CATTTCTGATGCGATCTATTTTTGTCACTCTGCAGCTTCTTCTCATGAACTCCATTTCAGTTGCTGTAATTTTGGACCTGTTTCGTTTATTTAGTACCCAATTCTCTGCTCCATAGGTCATTATACTGCGTACCAAGGTGTTATAAATTCTCTTCTTTGTATTTCTGGTAATCTGTTTATCCCACAGTACCCCGTTCATTTGTTTATGTTGTTAAATATTCGGTCTTTTCTAGGTTTATTTCCAGTCCATTTTTTGTGTATTCGTTTTCTAATTTTCGGAGCATATAGCACTGATCTTTTTCATCTTGAGCCGTTACCACTTGGTGGTTAATATTTATTGTTCTTTTTTTGTAGCAAACATAGTTATTTCGTATTATCGTAATGCAGCTTAAGCCAGGCAAATTACTGTCACACGACTAAGACAACGGCAACGCGTATAGTACCTACTCGGTATGTATGACAGTATGGTTATCTAAAAACAGCTGTTGCAAACGGTCTGCTGGAGGCATCAGGCCGCACCTCCTTTTATATCTACCATTGGAGCTCTATAGGTACGATACTTCCTTTTTCCTATAAAAAGCCATTTGGTCTATTTTAATTCCATGGGATCAGAATGGAAAAAATGTTGACACTAGTAAGGTCATGTCACGAAATCTTTCAACTTTCTTATAATTGTTCAGAGGAAACTGATATGCTCAACGGACTACGTCTAACAGAAATACTACCAATGAGACAGTTATAAAAAAGAGCAAAGCTGCAACTTCGAACCCAAAATATTGTAGAAATAGAGTAATAAAACTTATCGATGAAGCTCGTTGTGCTCCTTTGGGCTAATTAAGACTTCTTTAACATTACAAACGACTTTTCTGAAGAAAAACGGACAGAAAAGTTATTAAGGCTGAGAAATTCCTTAAATCCAAACGTTTACTAGCGATTGACTGCCGCAATCACTTCTAAAATGAGGTCCAAGGGTTAAATTTTAAGAGTGTAGGCTCAAAATTTCGGGCCAATGCTTTTTAAATGCATTTATTTTTATCAAATCCTGAAAAACCTAATAATTTTAAAAAATTGAAACGCAGAATGAAAAATTACATTTTCATCGAGGGCCGAAAGTCCCTTACAATAATTACTATTTAAATGTAATAGTAATTTCTTTAAAATGCCCCAAGAAAATAGCTTCAGAACAATATTAAGAATCCCTTCTTCTTCTTTGGGTGCCGTGTCCGTATTCAGACGTTGGCCGTCATCATGCTTACAATTTCCTGAAACCTTTCTCTGTCGGCTGCTGCGCGAAATAATTCTTCTACTGTGAAACCACACCATTGTCTAATATTACGCAGCCATGAAAGTTTCTTTCGACCAATCCATCTCTTTCCTTCCACTTTTCCTTGTATTATAAGGCGAAGTAAATGGTATTTGGGTCCTCTAATTATATGGCCGAAGTATTCTGTTTTTCAAAAGAATCCCTTAGAATAAACAAAAACTTTCTTTTGAATGAGATATTTTAATTCAAAAATCACACTTAATTTTCTTTTCTTTTTCACCCCTGTAACTTACTCAAATAAACATTATAGAAATTTTCAGGGACTGTCGACCCTCGATAATAATGTAATCTTTCATTCTACGTTTAAATTTTTCAAAAATACTTATTAGTTTTTTTTAGGATTCGAAAGAAATAAATGCATTTAAAAAGCATTGGCCCGAAATTTTGCGCTCTTTTGGGGGGATGGGAGCGAATTTTGGGCATAGCATATACTCAAATTGGAACCTGTATCTTTTGTAAAGATTAATTCCCCATAAGAAAGTTGCTGGCTTTTATCTAGGGAGTAGAGGCAAAGTTTACCAAGAGAACAGGATTTGATACAAAGATTTTAATCTAAGCTCCACATAAAATAGTATCTTCTATGAGTTGTAAAGAAGAAGGGAAGAATTATATTGATACAAATATACAATTCAAGTAAAAAAAAAATACAAAAATTGAAATACAATCTCTTACAGTATTTTCTTTTCTCATAATAATTAATCTAAGTGTTTATTTCCGTCTGCTCATTTTGCAAAAGATCTAATAAGATAATAAAAGTTCATGGACAATACATTATAGCCAAAACAATTTTATAATTGTTGTGTATAAAATTAATTTTTCCCTCGACACTTCTTTTTGCTACTATTTTATTATTTTAATTAATCGACTTATGAATTTAATTATAAAATATGAATTTAATTATATAATTTTTTATCCTGACTTTCCTTATTATGTTTATTTTCAAAAAAGAGATGGTTGGGCATTTATCAACCGATGCGATGATTAAGTTTGTTACATTATTGAAACGAAACTAGATCTGTAACATCTGTAAGAAGATAGTAACTTTTAAATTTCTACTTTTACCATTGACAACAGCAAACAATATTTTTTAATGGTCAGTTCAAGGCAACTACTGCATTATCTTACGATAAAATCAACTATACTAACGAACATTATTGTTTTTAATCTACTGCTTGATGTTCATTTGGCAAAGTTCATCCTAGTTGTACTATGTTAACTTCAACCTAAATTAATTGGCTTAATCCCAAGGGAATTATTCACTTTGAAATAAATTAACGAAGGTTACTGCATTCAAAAACAAATTATATTTTTGTCACATCGGAAAAAACAGCTGCTATTAAGTGAATGATACTTTTGTTATCGAGGCTTGGGTCTGACGGTTACTATATAGTAGTGTTAAAATATGCTTTCGGTTTTCATTTTTACGGTCCTTGATATTGTTTATAGAATAGCAATAAGAGTAAAAACTATAAATAATAGTTTTTTCTCTCTACCTAGTTCTTTCCTTAATGCAAGCTTTGCATCATCAATTTCTGGTCTGTTTTTAATTCTCTATCGTATTTGTCTTGCATTGCTATTTTGCAGTATATAAGCTGATTCCAACGTTAATAATAAGATATAAAAAAATACAATATAATAATCCCCCCCCCCCCCCATCCCTGGGAAAAACGTAAAAATCGATTTATCAAGAATTTGTACGCAACAGAAAATATTTTAAACAAGAAATATATGTTTATTAGCTTTTTTTCTGTAGAAAGAACTGTTCTCTCAAAAACAAGGCAAGAAGAGACCGGCGATTTTGAATGTGTTACCCGCGCGAAATAAATTTTTGAAATAAAAGTTGTATCAACACAACTGTAAAAATCGATACCTTTTGATCAGAGTGCTGTATCGACAAAAATCAAAATACGTTGTTAAAAAAATTCTTCTTTGTTGTCTTCACATTGTTGCAAAAATTGATGGACACACTGCTGTTTGTGATATTCTGTAAGCAGTCGCGGTACGCACCGCACACACACTTTGTGATAGCATATTTTTTCTGTTAATATCTTATGGATTGTGGTGTTTAAAGGCGCGTTTTCACGGGTCGATCTGAGTTGAACGATTTGGATCGTTCGACCATCATTCGATCTGTACCGAAAGCAAAAAGGTTTACACGACAGTCGATGAATGTTGAATTAATTGTAATTGATAGAGAGAAAAAATCACAAATTTTATTAAAATTATCTATATTTTTTAAATGTTAATATAATTTGGTACATTAAATTGTAAATGTAATATTTTCGAAGTAAAGTTTTACATAAATAAATAGTCTATTTATAAATGCACCCTTAAGATGGTATTTTCTTAGATAAAACTTTGAAAACAATTAGGACCAAATTAAATGTATCAGCTATAATGAAACTGTTGACATGATCTACGGAGAACACTTATTTTTATCTAAATAATGATTTCTATAAACAAAATTTTTGGACTGTGCTTTAAATCCATTATTAGCTAATATATTGATGGAAGACTTCAAAACAACCATTCCTAATTAAAATTTAAAGTCCACAATATGTTGAAAATATGTAGATAATGTGTTGGATACATTTCTGATTGATATAAATAAAAGGTAAAAGGTTGAGTCAATAAAATTTACAACGGAAAAGAAATAAAATAACTCCTTTTCTGGATGTTTTAATCTCAAAGTAAAATAGTGGATATGGGACTAATGTATACAAAAAACCAACACATATGAAAATTGCCTATTCTAATGACAATTTGTTTTTGGAAAACAAAAATAATTATTTTCTAACATCTATTTTATTCAAAAATTATTATTCCAGTTTTCGACATAGATTCGGCGGGAATCGCCTATGAAAAGTAGACAGTCTTTCGACTTCCGTCGAATCGACTCACTCCGCCGAACGACCAAGTCGATTTATGGTTTACATGTTCAATTTGCTTTCGATTTATTAGTCGACGGCCAGTCGATCCAAATCGTTCGACTCAGATCGACCCGTGAAAACGCGCCTTTAGGAATACGCAAAGCAAGGTCGTTAATGGTGAACCTCCGTTCTTCAAGCAATATTCTTTAAAATTTTTCGATAATTTCGTATGAAACTGAAGGCCTTCCGCTCCTATCTTCATCCTTAATTTCCGTTCGGCCTTCACTGAATTCTCTACACCCTTTGCGAACAGGTTGAACAGATTATGCACTTTTATTATTGCTATGCCGGCACTGAGCAATAACAAGTCGACAGTGGTGGGGTGAGAGAGATAGAGAGAGAGAGAGAGAGAGAGAGAGTCAGAGAGAGGGAGGGAGAGAGAGAGAGAAAAAAGTTGATGCGTAAGGCAGGAGTGACTGATTTCTCCTAGCACGTCGTATTCTTTCTCAACGGCATAGGGAACATTTTTTACTAATGACAATCGAATATATTTCCAGATGCGCATGAATGATCTTGATCTTCATAACGAAATATTGACTTAATAATAACAATTTATTTGAATAAAAAGGCCATATCTGATCTGTAGAGTATCTTCGATAGTATTTCAACGTGTACTAAAAATGGAATTTCAATCTCTCCAAACAAGGATACATATTACGATAATAACGAGCACATACAAACAACGAAATATACAACACTACGTTGTATCTCCTATATTTTACGAATGAATGAAATCAAATACATACCTTTAAATAAAGCCATGGGCCCCTCATGTTGGACGATATGCTTGAGACATTGGACTATGCTGAGGGAATGCGCCGGGGTAAACGAATAACCTGAAAGAGCTACAACTTGAGGCCGGCTATATTGACATGTTGTCCATAACCTACGCCTCTGATCGGGAACGGTCCTACACGTCGTTTTCGGCTGACTAGTTTCGCCGGGGACGTTGGGAAGGTCACGGACAACAACGAAACCATTTTTTGAAGATTGCTGACGGGTTTTCACTACTTCCAAGGGACAGGTCACGATGGCACCGGTTGTTCCCGCCACCCTGAAACAAAGAATGATCTGATACAAATCGGGGGGAATATGGAAACAAAAATAGTGCAAGTTATTATGTTTAACGTTCAAAAATAAAATAAGTGTCATTGATGGCTACAATTTATTTTGGCATCAAATGAATTATTATACAATGTATATTTCGTCTTATATCTTCTAAAGCAAATTGTATTATTCTAACAATTATCACGTAGTTGTAATACATATAGAGGAGAGAGGAGCTCACTTAAGAAAGAAGTAACAAAATACTGCACTGTTAAACATAACAGATGCACTTGATATTACGTATTTGAATCTAGACATCCTTACTTTCATACTGATAAGGAAAACAAGTAAGTACACATCATGCAGGTGGATGACTCAAATGCCTCAGTGCAGAATTATATCCCGATAATATAAAGGAGGTCTTATACTCCAGGTAAATAAGCAAAATTTAAAGGAGTTCAGGATATCTCAATATTTGACGACTTTTCCCTTAATATATACTTATAGTAAGCAAATCTATACGGTTTCTGCAGAAATTTTGGCGTGATTTTAAATTATTAACAATTTAGTGCAAAAAATGCGTTTTTTTGTATAAAACTGTCAGCTTTTTAGTTATGAAAAAGTGTTTCGTCTACAAGTAATAGTTTAAAAGTTATTCGTACAGATTTGTTTACGATAGGTATATATTATCGGAAAACCCCATTAAATACCTGGCTATTAAGATGTCCTGAGAAAAACTTGTGTCTTGTTTAGTACTAAAACAACTTCCTCGCAAGACCATATTATACTAACAGTTATATTTAACCGCATGCTAAGCTTGCGGAAAAGAGCCCAAATGTAACATCTTATCGACCCATCAGCCTACTCCCAACCGTAAACAAAGTTTTTGAAAGTTGCTGCTACAAAGGATATACGCAGTTCATGAATTCCGAACATTCCTAACATCAAATTGGTTTTCGGGCAAATCACTCCACTACCCAACAAGTCCATCGAATGATCAATGAAATATCAAAGAGTCATGAAGAAAAGAAATACTGCAAGGCTATATTCCTAGACATCTCACAAGCGTTTGACAAAGTATGGCTCAGAAATCTGCTTTACAAAGTAAAAATAGCACTATGCAGTAACTATTTCCTCCTACTCAAACCCTACATATCAAATAGATATATTGATATGTGGAGATATAGGGATATAGATATAGAGAAATATCAAATAGATATTTCTCTATCATCTCCGGAGTCCCACAGGGTAGTGTTCTCGGACCGCAGCTTTTCACACTCTACACAGCCGATATACCAGAGACTAATAATACTAGAATCGCTTTCTTTGATCACGACATAGCAATATAAGCTGTAAATGAAGATCCAATACAAGCCTCATAAAACCTGCAACATCATCTGGACATACTCAGTGCTTGGAACACAAAATAGCGAACAAAAGTAAACGTAACAAAATCAACTCAAATAACCTAGATACCTTGGCCTCCATCTTGACCAACGTCTAACTTGGAAGAAACATATCCAGACCAAAGGAAGAAAGCTCGATAATTCCAGCAAATGCATTGGTTCCTTGGACGTAAACCAAAACTTCGATTTGACAAAATCGAACTGCGGCATTGGAACGTGAGTGGCGGGTTTAAGGTGTCAAATGCAATTGCAGTACAATAATGTTGAATATTGAATGGGAACACACACGTATCGATTTTGCAGTATTGAGTTTTACTTTCAGACCAGAAACATGTTAGATAAGGATATACTTTTAGCAGCTCTTGCTCTTTGTATAAATGAAAAAAATACAAGAAACGTAAGTGGTGGTGCAAAGATTGGTTGCTGAAAAGTTATACATACTGTAACGTACATTTATTAAGAGAATTGCGATTATATCAATATAATTTTAATTCCCTTTTGACACATGTTCGAAAATTATTAATTTTCTTTTTTACCAACTCTTCATTAGCAGCCGCTTTAACTTCTTAAAATTTAGCAACAAAAATATTCACAGCTGTTTTTCTAGCGGTTTTATCATCATATGATGTCGATTTTATTTTACAAATACACTTTGTTCTTTATAAACGTCAAAGAAATCTCTTAAAAATTTCTAGCTATAAGCCGTTTTCAAAATTTACCAGCAAATGATTTTTTTGCAGTTGTATGATTTTGTCGTTGTCACAATATACACGATTCAATTTACGATCCAACGAACTCTGTCGTACTGCTGGAGACTGTCTGCCGTCAAATCGCGCCGATTTGGTCGAATGGTACAAATACACGATCAATACATTCAATTTTTTGCATTTGACAAAATCGTACTACGGCGTTGGAACGTGAGTGGCGGGCTTTACAGGACAAAATCATGCAACAGATTGATTCTGACAGCTCCCCGAGCATATCCACCCACATCCAGAATTAGAACATGGATTCATGGATAGAGTTCCTTGTACCAACACCCAATGTTACTGCTCATGTACAGACAGCGGATCCAACTGAAAACGCAGTACGACATCAGCGTCTAATAAGAAATTTATTATTGTATTGTTTGTATTCTTATAATGTATCTTCTTCTTACGGTGCCTTATCCTTAAGGACGTTGGCCATTACATTTGCCCATTTAATCTTATTTGTAGCAGCCCTGGATAGTTCTATGGAGGTCATGTTCGTCCATTGCCGTAGGTTTTTAAGCCAAGAGTTGCGTCTTCTTCCTGGTCCTCTTTTGCTATTGACTTTGCCTTCGATTATAAGTTGGAGCAATTCATACTTTTGATTTCTTATGATGTGACCAAAATATTTTTGGTCATTTTATTATAATCACCGTTCTTTTATTATAATCATAAGCTATCTTTCCTTATTCATCCTTCTCATTTCCATATCATGTATAGTTTATACTTAATAACAGTTTGTATATTTAATATATATATATATATATATATATATATATATATATATTTCATAAATTAATTAAATACCCCTTCCACTCCAGAAAATGGGGAGTACCACACTTAAAAAGAAGTATGTATTCCAAAAATCACGTAACCTCTAAGGTTATGTTAGACATTTAAACATATTTTTATCTTGTATAAGGATAAACAAATTCGAGGAATAAACTATTTATATAACTACATAAAATAACTTTCGAATCGACAAAATATGAGATAAAGCAATTTTAACAATATACAGTGTGGATAATATACAGGCAAATGGAATAAACTATTATTATGAAGTATGAATTAAAGAAAACTTGTCGAAACAATTCAAGTATAAAATTATAGCCTGCTGGAAACCATGGCTAAGTCTGAATGAAAGCCTAGGTAATCAGTCTATTATATTCCAACAGGAAATATATGCTATAGAAACGTGTCTACACGAAGTAATCACAAGGAACTGCAGGGAAAAATCTATAAAAATTATTCCTGATAGTTGGTATAATTTTAATTATATAAGTATAAATCGATGAATGGCTAACTTCCATTGTTGCAGCTGCTTTCAAACGAACTGTGTGAATTTTTTTCAACCTGAACTATCGCATCAAAATTGGTACCATTATTTGGTTTAGTGAAAGGTCATTTTTATCTGTTCTACATGTCTTCTGTTAGCGGCAGCATATATAGAAATGTGAAACAGAAGAGCAACTTCGACCTGTGTTTATAAACAAAGCCCTCCTACCCTTTTAAGAGATTATGAGATACAATACACACTCCAAAGATGTTGGTAAAATCTAAACTTGGTCTGTTTGGGTTTACTAAAATATGTACTTTTAATAAAATACAAAATTTATTCGATTTTGCTGTTCCACACTGTATATTAAAATACGATTTATAAACTTAATATTATTAGAAGCAATCTGCGACATAATACGAGTACTTGCGACATAATATAATGCAGCTAGAGGATAAAAATATTTAACTGGTTCAAGATCAAGGCGACACCTTCGGATTGTAGAAAAAGGTTAAAGAACTTTATAATTAATAAAAAAAAACAGAAAACGGATATATGTTCACAACTGATTCCTAAAGTTAAAGAAGAAGTTGGTTAGTTATTTTTGGAGTTAGGTCGATTTTACAAAATTAAATTAAATAAATGATTCTGTAAAAGTGGTTTTAGTTAAACTGCGCTAAGTTATTTTAAAGCTTAAAAGTTATCATTGCGCTAAGACTCAGAAATCAATTGTTTCTTAGTTACAGAGGTTCAAAGATTAATATTATTTTACATGATTTATTATTATAAACTCATGGATAAAAATATTGAATATTTTGTAATTTTACAATTCTTTTTTTGTGGTCACTATTATTTTAAAATAATTTTATATTATTTTTTACAGTAGGCTGATGTACTCAATTAGTTTGAAATATTTTGACGTTTATGCTGCGTTTAGTTTCATTCGTATATTTACTATTTAAATAGAAATAAGCCACAATTAAAGGTTAAAGTATGTTTATTGACGTTTCAATTTCCACTTCGGGAATCGTTCTCAAAATACATAATACAAAATGGCTTATTCCCATTTAATTAGTAATTAGTTTAAAATGTCACAAGAAAATAGCTTCAGAACAATATTCGTATATTTTATCATAAAAAACCCTCTTCACGTAAAGGAAAAACCATAGTAATTCGGTTGTTTTTAGTTTAATCTATTAAGTTTAATTAAATATTGTTTTGATTCAAGTAAGTTTAAAACAAACATGCCACCAATTCGACACTGCCATGAAGCCCAACATGAAGCAATTTTGTACGAGGAAGGATATACACAAAAAAATATCGCACGGCGTCTCAGGAGAAGTCAATCTACAGTTTCGTATATTTTGAAAAAGGTACCATGAGACAGGCAATTTTTGGAAAGGATACCATGAGAAAGGACGCTCAAGATGCACAACCGCAATTGATGACCATTTTTTGGTTCTTAATTCTACAAGAAATCGCTCACTGACATCGATGCACCTCAGAACTGAGCTACTAAATGTCAGACAAGTTATTGTGAGTTAAAAAGAGTTAGACCAATATTAAAAGAAGCAAACTTAAAGCCTAGATGCCCTGAAAAAGTTCCACGTCTCCTCCAAAATCATAAAGCTCGTCGTTTAGAATTTGCAAGAAGACATATTCATTGAAATATCGACAACTGGAAAAATGTTCTTTTCAGTGATGAGAATAAAATCCTATTATATAAGATAGATGATCGAAACCCCATCTACAGAAGAGTTGGAGAACTATTCGCCACCTGCAATCTCGCCCAGACCGTTAGTTTTGGAGGTAGAGGCATAATGCTTTGGGGAGGTATTAGTTCGCACTTGTGGAAGTGATTGGACGGATGACTGGTGACGCTTATGTTTAAAATGTCCTTCAAGATCATGTTTTGCCATATTTTGGTTACATTGAATATGCCAGATTCATGCTAATGGACGATAATGCTCGACCACAAGCCGCTGCCATAGTAATTATCTTTTGCCATAAGTATCATTTTCACATTTTGTACATCTTTAGGCAGAATTTGCTTTTTTTATTAATATTAAAATTTCATTTCATTTCATTTTTAATGAATAATAAATATGATTAGTTAATATCATCTTTTATTTGTTACTGCCATTTCGTTTTGTTCAGATTTGCAATTTAACATAAGACGAATCTGCACTTGATAAACTAGGACTAGTCGAGGCCAATACAATTAGCTCCCAACGTTAGTTGAAGTTTTACTATTACAGTTTTAACAAAAAATTATAACCCATTTTCATTCATAAACAAGGAGTTTCACAAGATTAAAGAAAGTAAACAATATAACACCATAAGCAATACAGAAATTCTCACAAGAAGGGACTTAAAGATAAAAACAATACCATATCGTCAGTGATCTGGCAATTTCTCATATCTGCATTGTTTTATGAAAATGAGTTATCGATGAATTCGGAATCTGCCTACACCAAAGATTCGTCCGTACAAGTCCTATGAACCACAGACCGTAGGTGATTTGTGCTATGAACGAGAAAAATGTCTAAATATATAAAAACGCTCCTTGTAATTTCTCCTATCTAAATTCACACAGTAAACGATATGCAACATGTCCTATCTTGTCAACATTCATATTTGTCAGTCATATTTCGACTTGGTATTTCTAGTAAGTTTCACAAGATATTATGTACATATTAATGGTAATATTATGTGATTATAATTATCTTATAATTATTTAAGCGATAAGATTCTCAACTAAAACGATAAACATAGACGAAAATCTAGTTTTTATAATTTCTTTCAGATAGGAGAATTTGCAAGTAGGCAACAAATAGCGATTAACTGATAGGAGAATTTGTGTGTCTCAATAATTGTATAGTAATCATGTGGAGAACTTTGCGTATGCTTGCAATGGCTAACGAAAACTTAGTTGTAAATAGAAGCGACCAAATACACACTCTACTGTAGGAACACTTGTTAGACCGTGTATTCTAACAACACTCTACAGTAAACCAACTGACAAACTCTGATGAAATCGACGCATGGGAAAACCTAAATATAGAAAATACGCCTATAAATACGGTATTAGACGAACCTCTGCCTAAAGACAATCATACTATTGCTTACAGCAATGCAAAATTGTACAGAGCTGAAAGACTGACGCAGATTGCTTAAAAGACTTTAACGAAGTAGAATGTTTAGCGAATAATAATAATTGTGTTATACCAAGTGATTGTGATCTAAAGAAATGCATTTTTTTAATAACAGTAGTTGTGATACCAATAATTTTGTAAACCTCTTGTTAGATAATTTAACAAATAAACAAATCCTATTGTCAATTGAACAAAATAAAAGGGGGGTATCTCTTGTGCCATATGAATGTTCTAGTGACGAAGACGAGACTAATGAAATTAAAAATACCAGTAATGTTCAAGAAAGTTCTAGTACTAGTATAAACAATAATATTGAAAGAAATCTGGTGAACACAATCAGTGATAATGAAACTACCACGAAGAGAAAAAGGAAGCTTGGTTAGAATAAAACTCGAAGGAGAAAATACAGAAACAAAAAACATCGAATGGAAGGTAAAGTATAGATGGGATTTAGTAAAAAATGGCGTTTACGTCAGTAAAATGTCGAAATTCCAAATTAAGATATTGCAAGGAATTTACAGAACAGTGCAGAAGTCATATATTTAAGAACTTTTGGGGTATGACTTGGGATCAACGTAAGATCTTTGGAGCATCTCATGTATTTAAAACTCCAACATTTAAATCAAACAAGGAGAATTCAAAAAGACAAGGTACCTACACTTACTACTCACATGAAAGGAATGAAAACTTACAAGTATGTCGTAGCATGTTCACAAATACATTAGACATACAGTATGTAAGATTTGCATGGTGTTTATGAATACAGATTTTGTCAAGAAAAGAATATCACTCCTTTAGGTCACAACGTATTGTCAAAACGATTTAAGGGGAATAATTTCGCTTTATATACAACGAAAAAGACCAATGAAATATTTGTTTTCCATTTAAATATAAGAATCCGACGGAAGAAGAATAAAGATCTCAAATAAAGAGAAAGGAAGACGCCAGAGAAGCTAAAAATTTGGATAAAGCCATAAGTGAAAAAAATAGAATACTAGCACTAACAATGAACCTACAAGCCGTAAAATTGTGCCCATATGTACCAGCGAACAAAATGTACTTTAAAACCAAATTGTCCTGCTATAACTTCACAGTTTACAACCTAAAAACTCACGATGTTATGTGCTATTGGTTTTCAGAAAACGAAAATAACCAGCTCAAAGCATCCACATTTGTTTCCTATATCATACATTGTTTAGAGGAGAACTGTGTTACCGATTTCAAAACGCTAGTACTAATTTATTCTGAGGAATGCGGTTATCAAAATCGTAATAATGTCCTGGCCAATGCTTTACTAAATTTTGCTATCAAACATAATGTGTTAGTGTTTGAAAAATATCTTGAACCGCAACCGGGTCACTCTCAAATGGAATGTGACTCGGTACATAGTATGATAGAAAAAAGTCTTAAAAATAAGGAAATCCATTTACCCAGTGACTATGCTTCCATTACAACTCAAGCAAGGAAGGGGACTAAGCCATATAGAGCAAAAATATGAGACCATATGTTTTTTAAAGACTATTCATCCTCCAACCACATGAGATATTCCTTAATCCGACCAGGAAGCAAATCGTATGACCCAACTATTACTGATATCAAATATGTCAAATACGATCCAGTTGGGACCATAGAAATAAAAATGTCGCTTTCACACAGATCGTAAAACACAAACAAACAATTGAAATATATTAAAATTTTATAATTTTAAAGTTTTTTGCCTCTCCTCAAAAGTTTAGGTGAAGTCACATAGGAAATATTGCTAAAAGGTCATCGACGATAAAGGATAAAGGGCGTATCAGAAAAATTAAAAAGAATAATCAAATAAATCACGGCAACGTTCAAAACATACATTTTTAATCATGTCCCAAAGTGGATCTTTTATCACACGATATTTAAAGAAAAAATTGGTTAAAATCGGTTAACAAATTTAAATTGTATAGAGGTGTTTCCAATCTAAATCGGTCACACTGTTTATAGAAACTAAACAAAACAGAATTTCCTCATTTTTAAGGTCCTTTTTATTGTTAAATATTTCAATTTATTCTCAATTCCCACAACATTTTTAACAACACCCATATATTAGTTGTGTTCGTGACCTAGTGCCAGTAAATAAAATATTTTCGTCAGATGTTTTTAAACGTATTCCCGAATTCATGTCTGAGAATAACTTAATCGTTTAATCTATATAATCCTGCAAACATCATCGGAGAAAAATTTTAATGAAATCGTTTCAATTTACGATGATTATAGATTCCTTGTAAGTCGTGTTAGAAACAAATATAAAATTTTGAGTATATTGCAAATTCTAAGAATAAAGTCTTAATCTATTTTCGCATTTTAAAGTATAGTGTTTGGGAAAATAGTCCATTCACACCTTTTTAAACTGCAGATGATTACAAACACATATATTATACAGCAGGCTTGTTGCCAGAAACTTGCCAAAACTAACACATCAACCGAAAAATTATGAGTGTAAGTTGTTATTGGAGGTTTCTTTTCTGCTAATTTACTACTACATACTTTTTTCTATTTTTATAATTTCATATTAAGTAAAGCGAAGGGAAAAATCCCACAAGAAATAAATAATAGGTATAAGACGTCTTTGAGCCCTTCAAAGCCTTATAAAATCGAAACAACTAATAAGACATACAGAGATACAACTATTTAAAACAGTCATACCACCCATAGTGATGTATGGTAGCGAAACGTGGAAGATAACAATGGCAAAGTTTGGGAAAGAAAAATCCCAAGGAAGATCTTTGGGCCTGTGATTGATGGAATAGCAGAACAATAACTTAACAAGATAAGAACTACCAAAGATCTCGAAGAACTATATTCAGGCGCTAACATAATAAAAGAAATAAAGCCCAGAAGACTCCAGTGGGCCTGACACCTTCGAAGACATTCTGACGAAAGAATAGCAAGGCTGGTATGGAAAAGTCCCAACTGAAAGAAGACCACATGGATGGACACCTTAAAGGTGTGAGCGTGGAGAATTGGATGGAGACTTCTCAAGGCAGAGAGGAATGGAGGCATGTTGTCAAGTCATCTAAAACCCACGAAGGGTGGTAGTAACACGGAGTAAGTAAAAAAAGTTCTTTAAATTTTATATTAACCTCAGCCATTGCCTTTCCAATATGGTCATAGCCAAGATATAAAATGCTCGACCAAATCAAAGTTTTCTACTAAATGGAAAATCCACCTTTTGCGAGTTTATGGTAAGCAAATGATGCGACTCTTCTTCCCCTTTATAAGAAATTCTGCTTATTCATTGGAGGGTTAATACCTCTATGGAAGGTTGTCACTTTATCTTTTGCGATTCTTAAAACAAAAATCTAAAGCAGTCTAGAATACCTCCCTCGAAGATTTAGCAAAAAACTACAATGTTAAATATTTTTTACGAACAGTCTAAATCAATTCTCATATTCAATAACCTGATTATAAATAATCTATTACTGAAGACTGGTTTGCTCTCCTCGGTGTATGTGTTCTGGAGATAATCTATTTCACGTTTTTTAATAATGCTTATATATTCCCATATATTTTTAACACATTTGCATTTGTTCTGTGTTCTATCAATGAAACCTATAACCTTCTTCGAAATACCACTTTTCGAAAGCTTTTAGTTGTCTAGTATTATTTATCCCTTGTAATATTGGACTTCATACAATAATATTCAATAAATATATGTGTATACGAACATTTAATGATAGGCTTATTTTTATGAGAATTTATTTTATTCACTGAAAGGCTGATCTGGCATCTTATGTTCAAGATCGGTTGTTACAGAGCCGCCAAGGAACTGAAACTTCGATACAAACTTCTTCTTGAATATAAAGACGTCATTCTTCTTCTTCAAGGAACGTCTCTCAGTGGGCGGCTGGCAGCAATTTCAGCAAACTGCGTGCGGTTTGGTGCCATTCTCTCAGGAGTGTATGTGACTTAAGTCCTGTCCAATCAGGGATGTTCTTCAGCCAGTAACACTCCAGGTCAGATCTCTGCGCAACTTTATGTTTCATACTATGATTAGTTTTGGGAGCTCATCTCTTTAGCGTCGAGAAGCATGTCCTAGGACGGGCATTTATCCTCTTAATTAATATTAACAGGTGCTCTTTTTTTCACTTTTCAAAACATTGTTATTTGTGATGTGATCTACTCAAGATATTCTAAGCATACGTCGGTAATTCAAATTTCACAGTCGGTTCACTGTACTGACTTTCATGGTCCAAACTCCTATTCCATAGGACAAGACAGAGTACACCTATCATTTGGCAAATCAGAACCTGGTGGTTATTCTGAGGGTACTGTGGTTCAGCAAGGCCATGCCATTACTACCCTTGTTTTTATTTCCAGATCTGGGTCTAGGTTATCTGTTATCCAGCAGCCAAGTATTTGAATTTTGTCACTTCCTCTATTGGCTTGTTCTAGATAGTTATGTTTGTCTGCCAATTGGGGTTTCGACGTACGACCATGATTTACGTTGTTATGTGTCAATTTTCAAGCCGAGATTGTCACCTTCACTGGTTAACTTGTTTAGTAGATGTTGAAGGGTTTCTGCGATGGCTACTAACACCGTTGTATCGTAAGCGTATCTTTCATTAGATAGGGATCTATCATTTACTTTTATGCTCTCTTTTGTATGTTTTAGTGCTCTTTGAAACATGCATTCTGAGTAGTTATTGAACATAGGGGTAGGACACATTCTTGTCTTACTCCACCGTTAACAGGTGTTTCCATGGTTAGGCTGCTTTCCAATCTTACTGATGCTACTTGGTGCCTATGTAGGCAAAACAGAGTCTGCATGTCGTTTGGCATTGTCGTGTCCATTTGTATGTATAAAATTTTCATTTGAGATTTGACACAGTAAAAAGTTTTTGCGTTATCTATGAAGCAAATATATACGTTCTTCCTCTTATCTCTGCATTTTTATAGGAGAACCAACAGTTTTAGGGTGTGGCTCATCAGACTTATCAATTGGAACTGTTCACATTAGCTAGCGTTAGATTTATTTGGAATAAGTATGAAAATCGATGTTAGCCAATCTTTCGGTGGGTTCTTCTGCTGATATATTTGAAAAAATACTAGTATATCTATATTACACCAAACCAAACTTATATGGAATCACCATGTATTTCAAAACCAATATTTTTTCTTTTGAAAAAGCTGTTTATTGTTGAGGAGAATAAAGGTTTTTATTCAAAATAAACAGATAAAACAATCAGATCAGATAACACAGAATGGTACGATATAGATAATCTACTTGAGTTCAAAAACGAAAATATGCCTTATGTGGGATTAACAGAAGTGCAAACGGCAAAGATTATTAGTCTTGTAAAGCAAAGAATGTTTCAAAGCTTCACAACATAGCTGCAGTGGTAGGCGTAAAACAGGGTGCTGAGTCAAAAACCTATGCTAGGTATCAGGAATTAGGACCGCTTAAGAATAGACCGAGACAAAGTCACCAAAAACCCAAATAGTAACAACAGCTTGCCACGATCGTTTTATTGTCCAAGTAGTTAGAAGAGACTCAAAGATGTCTCACCCGCAGATCCAAAGTCAGATTTTGGAAGCTACAGGTGTAAATGTTCTAGTTTTAGTTTCAGAGTAGCAGACAGCTACGGATTCCCAAGTCTCCGGGCAGCACAAGATTAATCGCCTGGTGTCTTCAACACCAAAACTGTAACATTGGAAATTGGTAAAATGTGCTATTTTCAGACGAAATCAAGACTCGTGTAAAATCAGATGACCGATAAATTCGTGTACTTAAAGGGCGACGAAGACATGAAAGAACGTAAACTGCCAGATCTGGTCACAGATTTAAAGGAAGAAGTGTCATGTGCTAGGGAGGTATTATGATTGGCGAAAAAACGACTTTAATTTCCATCCAACCAACTTTAACAGCTCGCAGGTATGTTGATTTGGTTCTAGAACCTGTAGTTAAGCTCTGTAGAGGTGCAATGGAAGAACATTTAATTTTTATACATGATAATGCACCTGCACATACCAGCCGAGTGCCTACAGACTTCCTTGAAGATACAGAAACAGAAGAATCAGAAAATATCACTGTTCTGGAGTGACCTGCTTGCTCACCCGATCTTAACCCTGTAGTGCTTTTGTAGGATATATTTAAAAGAAGAATTAGATCTCGCTGGGACAATCCACAAAATACTGCACAGCTACTACAAGCTGCTCTTGAAGAACGCAATAAATTACCACAACTAAATGTTAACAATTTTATTAGGAGCATGCCTACGTGAATTGAAGCTTGAAATGGGGGTAGGGACTGACTGCTAAAAAAAACATAAATAACACAAACAATTGGAATATTATTCGTTTTACATTAAATTTTTATGGTATTGACTTTCAATCAACAAATCGTTTCAAATGATTATTTTGGGAATTT